CAACGCCGGCCGTGCCACGGCAACGCCTCCACCCACGGGCCGCGCGGACTCGAGCGGCTCCAGTAACAGGACCTTCTGCCGGACTCTTCCCCTCGCCCTTTTTTTGGGGGGTGGGGAGACGGTGACTTAACCCCTTGTTTGCTGGAGCCCACCGAGAGGCAGGGTCTGTCTCTGCCAGGCTGGGGCTTTATTCGTGCGAGGCGCTTGGCCCGGGAACTGAGCCCTTGAGACAGATGCCCCAGTGTGGCGGCGACACTCCTTGCTCTCTGTTCACTCCAGTCATTTAACGCGTTTGTGGGGCACCTACGAGGGCTCAGGCGCGGGGCTGGGGATTGGGACAGCCTAGGCAACGAGTCAGCCACCACCCTCGCCCCTTGCAGACTGCCCTCTGGCTGTGGCTCCGACACCCTGACACTGTCAGTAAAAGACCAGGGACTCTGAGCTCAGGGCACAAGGCTCCCAAACCAGGCGGGGGGTGGGGGGGGTGGGAAGCTTCCCAGAGAAGTGACTTTATAGTGCCTGCTGCCCCCCACTTGCGTGGGACAAACTATTAAGGAGCACGGGTCGCAGCATTTAGGACCCTCAAGTCCACGTGAAAATGCTGTGGGGTGATTTATGCTGAGGGCAATTGTGTGTGTGCGGGGTGGGGGGGGACAAGGTTTTTGATCAGAGGAGTCACTGATGAAAGGGAGATGGAACTGGTGGTGGTGATTTACGGGTGCAGGGGGATGGTTCCAGGACCATCTCTATCCAGAGTAAAGTTATTCTTGTCTTTAATTCAGGGACCCCTGGACGGAGGGGCCTAAAGCCTAGGCAAGGTAGAATATGAGAGAGAGAGGCTTAATCTACAAATCCACAGAAAGGGTGTGCAGGAGAGAAGGGGAAGAGAAAACAAAGGATTGCAGAACATGGGGAACATTAGATACTGTCTAGGCAGTCCTTATGCACTGGGAGCCTGAGATTTGAGGGACCTTTCAGATATCAAAGTCACAGGGGAAAATTCTGTCTCCTTCACTGGGAGGTTTACTCATTCCACAAGATCTTTGAACCTGTTCTCAGGCTTCTTAAAGCTCCCAAGACTCCTTCATGCCATAACTGGCTCACGAAGCATGGTAAACTTTTAGAATACCAATTTATAAGGGTAAGCAGCTTTTTTAAAGTGTAAACACCTAAATTGTTGTTTTGTTTGCCAAAGTATCATTCAATAAATTTTCACTTGTTAAAAAAAGATCAGAGACAGCTTCTTGAGGATTCATTACTCCCTGGGCCCCAGGGTATCATGAGGCAAACTGGCTAAGTGGAGGGAAGGGCAAATGGAAAACAACTGAGCTGAGAGCCCAGCTGGCTGCCTGCCCCAACCCAGTGCACAGAACAGGCCACTACCGTTGTGTTGCGGCTTTCCAACTGCCAGCCACATCTCAGGTGGACAATCAGGAGGCTGGAGAGCCCCTTGGGGCATCTCTTAAGTGGCACGCTGCCACTCCTTTGCTCCTTCATCTTTGAGTTCTAGACAGTAACTTGTGTTAGAAAAATATTCCTGCCTCAGTTCATTGGGTCAGACTCTGATGAGCGATGCTGGGGTCTATGCTTTGCAAGTTTCCATCCCTGCTTGCCTATCACAGCCCCAATTTGCACTGTTCCTCAGGGCTGGCTGCTCTCATCCCTAGGTCATCTAATGGTTCTGTCGGCCTGGCAGAAGTCCCTCCCATGCATGGCTCCCCTCCTCTCCTGTGTGGTCCCACCCTTGCTGGCTCCCTGGAGCTTTCCCAGCTGATGCTCCCCCTCTCCCCGCCTTCTCCAGCCCTGGTTCTCCAGCTCCAGAGGTCAGGGTGGCCCTCCAAGGTGGGGACTGTGCACTAGAGCCTGGAAGACCCACTCCGTGGTCCTCTCTTCTTTCTGTCCTTCCTGACCATCCTCAGCTTCTCCTCACATTGGAGAATGAGGATGAGAGTGGGAGAGACTGCCTGGTTTCAGTGGGGAAAGGTGCGGGAGGAGGAGGGGGACAGAGGTAATTTTTCTTGATCTTGAATCCTGCTTTTTCCACCTAGAGCACCCATGAGACTCTGCAGACCATCTCTTGCCCACTGATCTCGTCTTCCTTTAGCATCTAGTTAAGGAGCATGGATCTGGGACAGACGGCCAAATCTGGCTCTGCAGCAGGTGACTTGGCCTCTAACTCTCAGCGTCTTCACCTGTACGGAGGTGGGGGTGGGGTTGGGGGTGGAAATAGCTATAACCGCCCTCATCCTGTGGGGAGTAAAGCAGATCTTCAAGTACAGGGTGTAGTACTGGGCCTGGCCCATGGGGGGCACTCTACCTTAGCTCCCGTTTGTTATTCTCATCTCTTTTCTTTGCAGGAGTACAGCGGTGCCCAGGGTTCAGGGAGTGAGGCGTGCACAGGCTGTGTGTCTTCTCCCCACTCAGAACTGAGTTTCCCCCGCCCCCGCCCCTTTTAGGTCCAGGGCCTTGTGCGGGAGGAGAGAGCAGCGGGCAGCACAGAGCCCGCTTCCTCCCAGCGATAAGCCAAGGGAAGGAGAACTGAGGCACGAGGAAAGGGAGATGGCTAGCTGGAATACGACGTCAAGAGAGTCTGCGAAAGAGCCTTTGAACGTCTACTCTCCCCCAAAGTGTTCAGTGTCCACTGACATTCCTTGAGGATGCTGAGCACTTCTGGGCGTCTCTGCAGCGCCAGGCGCTTCACCTGTGCTACGCCATGTGACCCACCCCACGCTCCTGGGCAACTGAATATCATCCCTACCATTTTCGGGGTGGGAAAACCAAGTTCTAAGACTTCTTTGAGGTCACACAAGCCCAAGCCTCTCTTTTTGTCACGCCAGGTTGCCTGAGAGCAACTGCTCTGCCCACGGCCAGCCGCAATGAAGCGATTTCTGGATCAGCCTTCAACCCAAGTCCAGGTTATGCTCCCCGCTCTGGAAGGCACAGGCATCTCAGACACCCCTTCTTGGAGATTGGAGACCCCTTGCTTGGGCCACTGGTCCATTCCTTTTTGCTCCTTGCCTAGCAGGAACTTCTGTCTCCATGCCACCAGCCTGCCAGTGCATCCTTGAAAGTTATAGACGCAGTAGATGATGGATAAGAAGTTTGGTTATTTTTTAAAATTATTATTATTTTATCTAGAAAGCTGACATGGGGAGAGGAATCATTTATCTATGGTTAGGGCCATGACATTGGATGAGGTAGAGCAAGGAAGGAGCCTGTTTTAGGGGCAGGGGAAGTCCACAGCCTCACCTTGACATGCCTACTCATCTCTTGACTGTGGATCTGAGCCCAAGGACAGAGCCATCTGGGCTGGCGGCAGGGCCCCTCATTCTTTCACAGGCATCCTGCTCCTTTCCTTCCCAGGAAGCCATCTCCCTCCTGCCGGCCTGGGTCCATGCTGCTCCTATCCGTGGCCCATCCTCCCCTGCCTAGAGACAGCTGGATGCGAGCACCTTCCCGTCCCACCACAACCCCCGGCTGCCTCCCTCTGAGGAAACAAAACCAAGCCAAGCATCCCACCCAAACCTCAAACCCGAGCTTGGTTTGTTCTTGGTCCCAATCTAATGTCATCCAGGGGATGTGGGATGGGAGGGGAAGGATGGGGCAGGGGGAGTGGAGGCCACCCAGGGGAAGGCGTGAGCAGAGCCAGACACCAAGGGCTCTGGGACTCCTACATCTTCCCCTGGCTGCGAAGGGCCTGTCTTTGCTATAGTTGAGTGCTCTGTTCTTTCTCTGTCCTGTCTCATTCATGCCTTCCTGCCTTCTACCTCCTGTGCTGGGGCTGGGAGATTGGAAGCTGTCGGGGCCCTGTAGGAGGCACTGTGGAGTAAGTGGCATTGGTTTCACCACAGACTGCTGACATTTGTCAGGGCACCACTGGAAATCTTAAAGAATCACCAAATTGGCAAATATCACAGTGAGCTGTAATTTCTGCATAAGCACCATCTGTTTCACTCCTATGCCCCTAGCTTACTTTGAAGGGTCTTTTTTTTCCCCACAAAGAACGAAAACATTCATAACTTTACAGGAATTAGTGTGTTTATGATGAAAAGTAGAGAACAAAGTCATGGATGGTCTGCGTCATTCACCCTTAGGCAAAGTCTCGAGTTGTATACTCTCCATGCCCAAAACCCTCTGTGCATATATCCTCCTCTTTCCCTTCTGGAAGATCCAGTTGAACTTGAGGGAAAGGAACAAGAGGATGGTGATGGAGATACTCTTCCAGAGGCATGAATTTCTGTGTTTAGGCAGGTCTGGCTGTTCCTGTGCACTGTGATTCCAGAACACAGTAGGACAGCCGGACCAGCTCTGGACGGTGCTGAGGACGCAAGGCTCCCACATCCTGCTTCCCAGAGCCTTCTCTTCTATTTCCTGACCAACCAGGCAATCTCCTCAGACATGAGGGGGAGGTGAGAATCCACTTTATACATCTTCATCACATCATGTTAGGATCTGGGCACCACACACGCAGACTTAAAGCCTGCAAGTTCGTCCCCTCTGCTAACACCCACCCAGGGCCCTGATCCCAGCCTAATTTAGACCTCCAAATGGCTGTAAATCACCGTGCTGCCTCTCAGACGCCACACCTGGCTTGAGGGGACATATTTCAGGAAAGCCCTAATCTCTGGTTCACTTCCTATATCTCTCAGATCAAATCAAATCAAAATTAAAATATTGGCCAAAGGCAAGCCAGGTGACTTCTGACTGCCACAGATAGCAGTGTGACCTTTGGTAAGGCAACTCTTGTCTGTGGGTTCCTCCCAGCCCCCCGCCTTCTCAGGCAGGCAGAGAAAGCACAAAGCCGCTGCCTGTGCGCATCTCCATTTGGCTTTTTCCTGTATGACCGAGCGTGTGCCAGGGAGCATCAGGCTTCCCAGAGATCACCTAGGAGGTAGGTTCTCACAGCAGCCCCATTTACCAATGAAGTAACTGCCAAGAAGAGCCAGTGCCCTGCCCAAGGCCACCATGAGAGTGCCAGAGCTGGAATGAGCCCAGCAGTGTAACCCCAGACAACCCCTTCCTGGCTCTGCTGCCAGGACCACCATCAGGAGCTACTGTTCTCATCTGCCCAGTTTACAAACAGAGGGAGGACCTGGTTAAAGGACCAGCAGAGGCAGAGCTGCCTGCAGCGTGGTGGGGCACAGCAGGGCAGAGCTGGAGGGCTCCCCCTCCACAGGCAGGGCCAAACCTCTCAAGTGGAAGGAGGGAGGGGACCTGCCCAGGCCCCGAGTCTGCACAGGAGCTGCACCTGCACCAGGGCACAACCAGAGCAACCATCCAGGAAGCCACGAGGGGAACCAGAGGAGGAGAAATCTCATGAGAAGTAATGGAGACAACTCAACTGAAAAGAAGAAAAGAGAAAGGAGCAGGCAGGGAGGGGCCAAGGATGGGATGGAAAATCACTGCAGTGGGGACAGGGAGGGGCAGCCAGGCCTACAACAGCCTCCTCCCTTAGTGTCTCTTTCCAGTATGATTTCTGGTATTTTCTACTCTATTGGCTTAGGGAGCAGATGTATATGGGTGGCCCAGAGCCAGAATTTTCACACCAGGGTCCAACTTTCTGAGGAGCTACCTGCAGGCCAGGTGTACCAGCAGGACAGGGTAGGATGGGGTCAGTGCTTTTCACACTTTTTATTTGCCTGACAGTCCTCTTGGGGTTGTGAGGGAAAAAAGTAGATTCTACTCTTCCCCACAGGGATGTGAATGCAGGGGGCCTAGGATGGGGCCCAGGAGTCTGCCGTTTTACAGGCACCCAGGTGTTTTTGGTGGCGGTGGCTCTAGCTCCCACTGGAGACACACTGGTGTAGAGCCTGCCCCCGGGGTGGCTGCGGCAGGCGTGTGCAGCGTTGTCTCTTCCCCAATTTTCTTCTGTTCTGAAAAAAGCGTGTGTGATGGGGGAGGGCAGGATGCTGAAAGGGTCGCAGCAGAGAACTTCCCTCCGTAAGAAGCTAAGCCCAGTGGTCCTCACCTAGGGGCAGCTTGACTCCCTCAGGGGACATCTGGCGATGTCTGCAGACATATTTTATCGTCACAATTGGGAAAGGAGGATGATTCTGGCATTGAGAAGGTAGAAGCCAGAGATGCTACTAAACATCCTACCAGCACAGGACAGCTTCCCCTGCCCTCCGTTCTCCCAAAAAGGAATTATTCTGTCCCAAATGTCAAAAGTGCAGACATTGAAAACCCCAGAGACAGTCAAGTCCCCATCCCCAGGATCTTGAACAAATACTTGCCCTCCATCACATCTGCTATGTAACAATATTACATGAGAGATGCTAAAATTACAGTCATTTGGTTCAAGTGAAAAATTAGCACAGCCAGGCGGGTCTTTGCACCTCTTTCCCCCTCCCATTCTTTCCCAGCCTGTCCGGAATCCAGAGCTTTGCAAGCACTTCACAAGTGCATGGTGCCACCTAGTGGTACTATGGTTAATACCAGCAAGCACGTTTCTGAGAACTTGTTAACTATTGATTATTCGGGGCTTGCTTACCATTGTGAAGATTCTGCAGGAATAAACAAAGACTACCCAAATGAACAAACGGGTTATTTATTCAGAGCTTTCTGTAGAAAAGGAGTCAGCTACTCACTTGCGTTTGGCAGAGATACAAGTACAAGTGGAGGATCAAATGCTGGAAAGGTTTATAGAGAAAAAAGAAAAGGCTTCTGGTGCCCTGACGGGAGATTGCACTGGGAGGCTGGGGCCTGGAGCACTTCGTGTGATGCTTTGGAAAGGATATTTGGCTTTCTCTGGTTGGTCTTGAGTTGGTAATGGGGGTGAAAATTAGAGAAGCTGGCAGTCATTGACCAAGTCCTGGCTATTCTGGGCTGATTGCTATAGGGGCTGTAGGTCAGAGTTCTAGTGCCGTATATGGTCTGGCCAGTGTGTTTGTATATTTAGTCTCAATTCATTAATCATTCTAAATATATTCATGCTGTTACTAATCATGAAACAGATTACATAGAGTTACCCACGTGAGAAGTAGCTTGACTGCAAATCAACATCTGTGATTTTTAAAGGTTGTCCTTACAATTTTTGATTTAGGGTTCATATTTGATCTGTTTGATTTGCTGTCCATGGTGCCTTAATATGTATGGCATTGTTGTCCTAACTGAAATTCACATGGGCCCCAGAAATCCCTAAACTTCACTTGTTTAGGTGACTATAACTCCTTGAGATGCTGACCTTTTTTTACTATCACTACCACCAGCATCACCACCACCACCACCACCACCACAAGGTCAATAGTTCTCAAACTGTGTTCCCAGGACCAGCAGAAGCATATGGGAACCAGTTAGAAATGCAAACTCTCAGGCCCCACTCCAGACCTACAGAATCAGACACTGGGATGGGACAGCCCCTGGGTGATTCTGATGGGTGTTAAAGTTTGAGAGCCACTGCTTTAGATGAATTTCTAGGATGCCACAAAGGCCTTCTTGACTTTCCATGATGTTTCTTCCATATTTGGGAAACAGAACAACTTTTATTTATCTAGATAATATAAATGACGATGTTTGCTAACATTTATTCTTAAGAACAGTTAAAGATAGCTAATTGCCAGAATCATAAATGTAAGTCTAGAGAATTTGTATAGCTTTAGTCAGACTCCTCTCCAATTTGCTTAAGGAGAAACAGAGGCCCAGAGAGACTCACCTGAGGTAATGTGGTTACCTTCTAATTAGGGGACTAGAACCTGGGGCCTCTGGTTTCAAATTAAGTCCTCAATAAGCCCTTTGGTGAATCAGAGGAATAAAAGACTATTCTACACCTTTGGGACAGGGTGGGCAAATAAATCAGAGGAAGCTAGGAGGACAAAGTTAATGGCTGACCGTATTTGAAACCAGTGGTGGTAGGTGTGACTTCTGTCATGGGAACTTCAAAGGGGTCTGTAGCATCTTGTGGAAACGGGAAATGGATTGTTAGTCAACAGTGCAGGAGTAGCCATTTCTGTCTCTATGGACAGCCTGTTTCAGGTGTTCCTTAGGCTGTGAGTGGCAGTCACACTTCCAGCAGCGGAGGTGGCCCACATCCTAGTTTCTGTCCCAAGGACCCTTCCACTTGTGAGGCCCACAGACCCACCCCTGGCAGACTTCTGTGGAAGCCTGGAACCCACGTGGAGATACAGGGTTGTATACATGGAGGTGACTGTGGAACCGCAGCTCATAAACCCCAAAGAGCAGACCAGAGGACCACCAGGCCTTCCCTGGCTGTGTTGGCTGATTTCCAAGCTTTGTTCCACTCCCTCGTGCTCTCTGAAGTTTTCTGACCTTCCTTTGGTTCTTCAAGGTTAAGCAAACTCCCCAAAAACTTCACACAAAAGTCCATATTATTGGGGGCTTTATTCTTTTCTGCGGCAGAACACCCTCCCACCCCCGCCGTCCCTTTCCCTCCCCAGCTGCCTCCATCCTATCCGTTCTCCCCATTCTCCATTGTTTCCATGGCTCTTACCACACTTTGCATTGCATAGTACGTGCCCCCTGTGGGGTCTGCCTCATTAGTGCGGAACCTGTAAGGTCAGGATGTATGTCTCTATGTCCCCAGGATCCATCACGATACATATTATTTAGCCTTGATAAATATTAGATTGAGTTTAAGAGATACTTACTGGGCTTAATAAGTATTGATTGAATGAATGATCATGGTCCTTCTGGAGCCACTCCCCAAGGTCCAAACGCATTCCCCACATCAGTGCAGCCAGGGACTTCCTGCCGTCCAAGGACAACACCCCCCCACCCCTCCCACCACCCACCCCGTCCTGCTTAGCTGAAAACCAGACGTGTGTTGAGGAACTGGCTTTCAGTTTACCCAGCGTTTCCGCAGTCTGAGGAAAGAAAGCTAAAGGTGTCTATGGAGAGACAGATACCTTAGGGGCGAGAAGGGCCGTGGAGGACGCTGGCCTTCTGGGTGAACGACCGGAGGGCTGGGTGAGCCTCTGCGGGTGTCCGCGCCGCGTCTGCTTTAAGGGGCGGTCC